CAGGAGAGGCGGTCCCGTAGGTACGAGGGTCCTAGACCGTATAGGGCTTTAAAGGTTAAAACCAGCACCTTAAACCTGATCCTGTACTCCACCGGGAGCCAGTGCAGCTGGTATAGCACCGGGTGAATGTGATCTTGCAGAGAGGACCCCGTAAGAAGTCTCGCCGCGGCATTCTGCACCCGCTGGAGTTTCTGGGTCAGTCTCAAGGGCAGCCCCACGTAGAGCGAGTTACAATAATCCATTGCAAGGATTGCATATTCGTCTAAACCAGTAGCTACTGAGAGCCTTATCCTCCATGACGTTGTCTAATCTGCTTTTAAAGCCATCCCAGTCGGTGTCCATCACTCCATAGTGTGGGAGCGGCCCATTTGTCCCATCACTGAACTAATTTTTTGCTCACTGCTGCCAGCTGCAGCCCTTTTTCCACCGTGCACATGGGCATGATTGATGTCCCACAGTCGATTTCAACATCCCTGTGCTACCACCGCCATCCTTTCCTTCAGAGTTAGAACAAGGCTGATAGCCAGCCAGTTCCCTATCGCACCTCTCAGGGATAATAACGGGACAGAAATTTTAAATCACATTGCCTGTGCCTGTCAGTCAGCTCTGAAATCTCTCCCCGCTGCCACCGCCCCAAACAACTCCGAAAGGCAACGTGTGATAAATCTGCTCACTAGAATCAGAGGCAGGAGTGCCAGGTGAGGACTTATCATTCACATACACCCATGCAGGATTTATTAAATATTTAAAGTCACTACATAGATCTAAAGAGCTGCGTTATTTATTTTTACAGGGGCCAATCAATCACGGGTGTCCTCAAACGGAAACCAGACCTTTAACTACTCATCTGATTACATCAGCTCCATCCCCGCCGCCCCTGTCGGGGTGGTGCTTAATATTTCATCAACACAGCTTCTAGGCAAAGCAGGACTGGAGGTTGATTTCCTAATGGAACCGCTATTTGGTGTGTGGAAAAAAATTTTTTAAAGCAATTTGGATCGAGGGGGTAGGGGAAAGGAAGAGAAAAATCACCTTGTCTTCACTGCTCGTTCACTCTCTCTCACTTCCAGAGCCTCAGCAGATTTACTTCACCAAACTAATCCTGCTGGAAAGGGAACTTTCATTTACTATCAGCCGCATAAACCATCAGCCTCCTGCTGGATTTTAGCAGCACACACAAATGAGAGGGGTGGGGGGGTGCATCTGTGCAGATTCCTGCAGCTGCCCAGCTGATCAGCCCAGGCAAATTTGGCATCATCATCATCATGGAACCAATTATGCTAAGGCCTGATACAGAAATTATTTGCCCTTTGTGGACATTTTAGTGGGGCAGTTCTAGAGCTGGTGGCAGAAAGTTTCCTCCAATTGCCATATTCTGTGGGGTCCATTTTTTATCAGGGTGAGAATGGCCAGTTGTCCAAAGCAGACCTGAAAAGAGAGGTGCAGGAAGCATAGAGGTATCTAGACCTTGCTATACACTGAATTGGAGCAAACAGCAATTTGAGCTTTTGGCAGATTGCTGTTTGTTCCAATTCAGCAGTAAGGAGCAGTTTTCTATGGGGAAAGCAGTGGGGCAAAAGAAAAAGAAGATAGCAATGGCATGGACCTGTGTCTGTAAACCCAGCACAAAAGGAAGTCTGGATGAGCCCTAGTCTTCCTATTAGCATTTGAGCCTTCAAAGAGGGGGAATAAACCCATCTAGGGTGAGAAACCCATGGGCTCCTGAATTATTTTGGATACTTCCCAGGACACTGGTCCCCAACATTCCTCTATTACCAGGCAACCCCCATAAGTGATAATAAGTCCCCTTACAATGAAGGACTGATCTAAGATTTCAGACATCACACCTAGGAGGAAGGAAATATAATTATCAGCCCTCCCTACTGCCCCACACATTGTAGGAAACTGAAAGCAGAACTTGCATCAGCATGTCCCATGAGGATGCAACAGCAGGTGGGAATTGAACTCCTGTTTTCAGGGCGGGGGTGGGGGGAGGAACCTTCGAAGAACCGGCAAGGCACAGCAAAATGCCTGTGAGCATTTCTTCCACATCTTTAAACTGTAAGTTGTAGGTGGGAGGTTGTCATTTTACTGTGCATTCAATAGTGCTCTCATTGACAGAGGACTGTAAGTGTTGGTACACTGCAGCTGCTACATGGTGAGTCAGGGTTGGTGGGAGTTGCAGTTCCAGCAACAGCCAGGGGGTCATATGTTTCCTGCCCCTGTCTTAGGCCCCATTTGCACTGTACATTTAAAGCAGTATCCTACCATTTAAAACAGTCATGGCTTACCCTAAAGAATCCAAGGCACTAAATGTTGTTAGGAGACCCCCTGTTCCCCTCACAGAACTTTAATTCCCAGCGTTTCCTGGGAAGAGGGATGGTTGTTTAATGACTCTGGAAATTGTTTCTTTAAAAAAAGCACTCCTGCTACCATTGTACATACAACTATGTCAATATAGTTAATGCAGCATTTTCTCTGTCTCCTCCAGTTCATTAGCAAAACACATGCACACACACACACAAAATTCTGATACATAGCAATCCTTTGTAGATTGCTTTTTGCCATTTTTGTCAATGCACATGCACCCGCCACTCATGTAAGAGGGGGATTAATCAACGACACCCCCATCATTATAGGCAGATCTTTGCTTGGCATGAATGCCACACAGAGTGAAATATGCCCCAAACTGCTCCTGTAAAGCCATCCCCAAGTCACAGCCTTGAGCACTTGTTGTACTGATGTGTTCAGAGGAAAAGAGCTTTGTAATGTTCTCTCTGAGGAGCACTCCAGACAAGGGCAAAAATGGCTTTTAAGTTAAGGTGGGATTATTCCAATGCACATCTTTTGTGCGGCTGGTCTAATTGAACAGTTAACGGCCAGCCTAAGCAGGGCAGGTGTTATGAGACCGGAGACAGCCAAATCTATGTAATTGTGTGATTTTTTGCATGATTGAGCTCAGAAATGTAGTAATAAGGGGAAAGGGGGGAGGCGGAGGGCAGAAAAAAGCAAGGAAGTAGAAGAAAGACAGCGAAGAAGAACACCTCGGCCATAAATCAAAGCTGAAGCTGTGTCACACAATTTGCTAAGGAAATATACTTTAACATCTCCCAGAAGGGATGCAGGAAGGAGGGAGAAATGCCAAAGCCAGGACCCTGGAACAAAAAAAGACAGAATCCTCAGAAGAATTATGTAAACCAGATCTACTCAAAGTTGTGGTCCAGTCTGCAAACCATTGGCTGCTGGTCTGTGGCAGTGGTGGGCTTTAGGGTCTTAAATTTCACCATTGCCCTGTGCAACACTAAAATCCGCACCTCCCAGCCTCTTGCCCCCTGAGCAAGAGCACCTCTCAGGCTCTGCGTCCAGTGTGACCAAACCGTTCATGTTCCCCTAAATCTGCCTCTGTCTGTGTTGACTCCATCACAATCCAAGTTGGGTGGGACACTTCAGGGACCAAATATGGTAGCAGTCCCTGGACACTAGGAGGTGGGGGAACTTCTGGTCCAACACATCAGATAGTTTGAGGTGCATGCTGTAAAGGAACACAGAGCTCACCAGTCACCATTAGAAAGCAGAGATCTGCTAATTGCTATGCAGCCATGTTAACAAAATGAGGGGTCTTGCTGATGGAACTTGAGAGAGGAAGGGAAATTATTTCTTCTATGGAAAATGATGGTTGGCCACTGTGAGAATGGGGTGCTGGAAGAGATGCATTTTTTGCATGTAAGGCTCTTCTTATGCCCTTAAATTGCAGCTGTGAATGTGGGGAAAACTATTTTCTTGTGTGCTGAAGAATGAGCTATGCTTTGCTAGTTGAGGAATGGGGATTTCCATTCCTCAGATTTGAACTCTTAATTGTATAAAAACACATCTTTCTGCATTCCCCCTCCCACTTCTCTTTCCTGTTGTCTGCTAAGATGTTTGCTACAATATTGTACTAAGTATTCAAAGCAGAAAAACCAATGAGGCATTAATTGGACGGGGCGCAAGATCGGACCATGCCCAGTCTGAAGAAAAGCAAAACCGCCAGCCGCCTTTCAATAAGGAAAATCATTCGTAATGCAAACTAAGCCGAGCCGAATGCTCAGAATGCAACAGGTTTCCCATGTGACCGTCTGTGCCTGTAGGCACAAATCTCTGTGTGAGAGAGAGTGAGTGTGTCTCCCCACAAGTTACGTAGCTGGGCAAGAGAATTAATAATCCAAGTCTTGGAGGACTTTAATTGCATGTATAAATTAAACGTCTACTTGCTCTGTTCCATATGAAGTCACTGCACTCAACGAAAACAAACTGCATTCTCCAAGTCTCCTTTTTACTGGAGTGCTACATGCACAGACAAAGCAAATGCCACAACATATAGAAATCAGAGTACACACTTAAGGATGGGATGGCCTTGCGTTTGCCATTTTGATTCCGCCTTGATTGCCAAGATACATTTTTTAAAAGTTTGCTGCTGTGTTGGTACAGAGCAGCATTAATTGAGTGTTAACGAGCTGTCAGATCAGCTTCCCCCTGTCCTTATTATTGGATGTCAGAGTCCCAGTGATGTCCCAATTAAGCAGAGCCTAAACACTATTTAATAACACTATCGCCGCATAGTCAACTTTTCCCTTGGAATCAGAATCCTCAACTCATTTGTCAGGAGGTTTCCATTATCAATGTTCTGATTACACAGTACAGAGTTTACTGCATGGGAAATTTAGACATGGGGGGAGGCGTATATGTACAGGATTTCTTCAGCTAATGAATGCATTCCATAGAGGTTAGAATCACCGCAGGAACAAGTGGAGCTTCACTTTTTGATGTTGTGCCACACATTAAAATGGTAAAAGCAGCCCATAGTGATCAGACCAAGGCCCATTAAACGCAGCATCCTGTTCCCAACAGGTAACAGGCAGATAGAGCATAGGAGTCTGCCTTATAGTCAAACCTTTTGTCCATGTAGCTCAGTATCATTCAGCTTTACAGGTTTCCACAAAGAAGCATCTCCTGGTCTTACCTGGAGTTGCCAAGGATTGAACTTGGGACCTTGTGCGTGGGAGACAAATGTTTTACAGCTGAGCTACAAAGCAGGGTGTGGAGGCAGAAGCCTGTCCCTGCCTTTTGCTCCACAGCAACTGGCATTCAGCAGCATGCATTGGCAAAGCTCAAATTAGCCATCATGCCTAATAGTGGTGAATGAGCTTGCCTTCCATGAATTCACTGTCCTTGCTCCCAGAGGGCTTGCAAGACATCTAAATGGAGGTCAAAGCAAGGTGACTGGGCCAAGAGGCAAGCTGAGACAACATGGGCAAGCAATGGTGCTGGAACCAAGAGGTGCTTAACGTCTGATAAGGAGTAGGGCTGGGGAGACTCCTAAGGGCCAGAAAAAGAGACTCGGGGGCTGCATTAAGTCCCCAGGCCAGGGGTTTTGTACTCTTGATTTTGACTGTTGTCCACAGCCCAATGCTGACAGATAGGCAGTGTGGTGTGGCTGTTAGAGTGGATCAGGCATTGGGTTGATTCCTTAGTCTATTTCAAGGGTAGGGTTAGTTGGTGCATCAAGCAGGGGCAATATCTCAGGGTACCCCGGTAAAGGGGTCTGGTTAGAAGTTTCTGTCCTGAAGCAAATTGGAGAATAGATGGACCATCTAACTTTCAATGCTGGCCTGGGGGAGGCAGCTTAGTTGACCTGCGGCTTGAGCTGACCCATAACCCAGGCACAACTTTGTCCAAACTTCATCCAGAGGCTGATTCAAGATACATACCCAATGCCTAAGCCAATGCCCTACCTACATCTGTGATCAATAAAGTTGTGGCCCATTTTCAATTCCAGAATGTTGATGTATCCATTTTTTCATCTACCTGGTGCCTCTTCCTTTCTCATCCCCAGGGCACACTGTGCATGTTTGCTGCCTTGAGCTTCTGGGGGAAAGGTGGGGAAAACAGACAGACAGACAGACAGACAGGTAGAGTGCACAGTTAAGCTGCAGCTCACAGAAGGTCTGGTGTTTGAATCCCCGTGGCTGTTAGAGGGTTGCTATAGGAAGGAGCAGTGAGCCCTTGTCCATACGGATGTGGCCACACAACTCATTCCAACCCCTCAAACAATGGAGACATTATTTCCTCCTGCACAGCAAAGATTACTGGCATAGAAGACATAGAAGCTCTTCACTGTCCCAAACCATTTGGTTTTGGGTCCTGTTTGCAGTTTCTCCCCCTTCTTGTGTCCCCATAAGCACATGGCTGAGTGTCCTTTGTCCTCTGATCTTCAGAAATGCAGTCATGCCAAACACACACAAAAATCTCAAATGGGTGCTGCTCGCGGTTCCCGGAGCCCCAACTGTTTTGTTTATTTTTCTGGCTGAGGTACCAGGCAATCATCCACCGCAATTATTTCAAATCTTGCTGCAGATGGAATTCTGAGGTTCTCAGCCTTAAAACAGAATTCATTATTCAAATTTTAATTCTGGCCTTCTGGAAGGAGCTCTGAATAGATTCGCTGTTGAATTCTGAGGTGAAAAAACACACACAGGCTACAGCTTGGGCTGAGTGTCACGCAGGGGAGTTGGCTCCTTGTGCTCAGTTGAGAGTTCCTGGGTGCTCTTCCAAAACCCACTCGTCCTTTCAATGAGTCACCTTCTTGAGGTGATTCCACACGTTCTACTGCACCAAAACTGTATTTGCTACCCCCCCCAAAAAAAGGAGTTGTAGTGAATCTGAGGAGCAGAACTCAACCACATACGTGTTTTCAAACACCCTTTTGTCACATTCAGACTTGTAAGTGTACACTTAACACATATTGTGTGTGAAACGGCCCTGCTTCTCCCTATGCAAAGGTGCATTGCAGATTCTCAAAATATCTACATTTTACAATACTGCAATTTTCTTTTTCTTTTTTAATGATATTTATTGAGATTTCAAAAACAAAAAAATTACATAAAAGACAATGAAAAATATAGAAGAAAAAAAGAGAGAAAAAACATACAAAATGCAAAGTATATATAAAAAAATATAGAAAGAACACTTAGAAACAAATTTATCCTTTAGTATCTAACATTTCATTTCCTTGCTTTCCTGACCTCCTCTCACCTCCCTTTTTTGTATTCCGGTTCAGTTGGTTAATTCAGCAATTCCTTTCCCTCTTTGTTTTTGTCTTAGTCCTTTAACTTAATATATTATAGCTTTAAATTCTCACCTATTAACCAGCCATTTTTCATACACCTTTATGACATTGCTGCTAGAACCACTTAATTTCATTCTGACATCATTCTAACATTCATTAATTTTACAATTTTTCTGTAAATAGTCTTTAAATTTCTTCCAATCTTCTTCCACCGACTCTTCACCCTGGTCTCGGATTCTGCCAGTCATTTCCGCCAATTCCATGTAGTCCATCACCTTCATCTGCCATTCTTCCAGAGTGGGTAAATCTTGTGTCTTCCAATACTTTGCAATAAGTATTCTTGCTGCTGTTGTAGCATACATAAAGAAAGTTCTGTCCTTCTTTGGCACCATTTGGCCGACCATGCCCAGGAGAAAGGCCTCTGGTTTCTTCAGAAAGGTATATTTAAATACCCTTTTCATTTCATTATAAATCATCTCCCAGAAAGCCTTAATCCTTGGGCACGTCCACCAAAGGTGAAAGAATGTACCTTCAGTTTCTTTACATTTCCAACATTTATTGTCGGGCAAATGATAGATTTTTGCAAGCTTGACTGGTGTCATGTACCACCTGTATATCATTTTCATAATATTCTCTCTTAAGGCATTACATGCCGTGAACTTCATACCTGTGGTCCATAACTGTTCCCAGTCAGCCATCATTATGTTATGTCCAACATCTTGTGCCCATTTAATCATAGCAGATTTCACTGTTTCATCTTGAGTATTCCATTTCAACAGCAAGTTATACATTCTTGACAAATTCTTAGTTTTGGGATCTAACAGTTCTGTTTCCAATTTTGATTTTTCCACCTGGAAGCCAATTTTCTTGTCCAGATTGTATGCCTCCATTATCTGATAATAATGAAGCCAATCTCGCACTTTATTTTTTAGTTTTTCAAAACTCTGCAATTTCAGTTTATCTCCCTCTTGTTCCAGAATTTCCCAATATTTCGGCCATTTGGCCTCCATATTGAGCTTTTTCAGAGCCTTCGCTTCCATCGGTGACAGCCATCTTGGAGTTTTATTTTCAAGTAGATCCTTATATCTTATCCAAACATTAAACAATGCTTTCCTGACAATATGGTTTTTAAATGCTTTATGTGCTTTGACCTTATCATACCACAAGTATGCATGCCACCCAAATACATTGTTAAAACCTTCTAAGTCCAAAATGTCTGCGTTTTCCAGAAGCAGCCATTCTTTCAACCAGCAAAAAGCTGCTGATTCATAATAAAGTTTAAGGTCTGGCAGGGCAAATCCACCTCTTTCCTTTGCATCTGTTAGTATTTTGAATTTTATTCTAGGCTTCTTGCCCTGCCAGACAAATCTAGAAATGTCTCTCTGCCACTTCTTGAAACAGTCCATTTTGTCCAAAATTTGCAATGTTTGAAACAGAAACAGCATTCTAGGCAATACATTCATTTTTATAGCAGCGATACGGCCTAGCAGTGAAAGCTTTAAATTTGACCAGATTTCTAAGTCTTTTTTCACTTCAGTCCAACATTTTTCATAATTGTCTTTAAATAGATTCCCATTTTTAGCTGTCATGTTAATCCCCAGGTATTTCACTTTCTTAACCACTGTTAAACCTGTCTCATTCTGAAACCTCTCTTTCTCCATCACAGTTAAGTTTTTCTCTAAAACCTTAGTTTTTAACTTATTCAGTTTAAATCCTGCAACCTGACCAAATTCTTGAATCAGTTCCAAAACCCTTTTAGTACTAGATTCTGGCTCCTGTAACGTCAATACTAAGTCATCTGCAAATGCTCTCAACTTGTACTGTTTAGCTCCGACTTGTATACCTTTAACCAACTGGTCCCTTCTAATCATATTCAGCAGAACCTCCAGGACCAATATAAAAAGCAGTGGGGAGATTGGGCAACCTTGTCGTGTCCCTTTTTCTATCTTAAATTCTTCTGTCACCACGTTATTTACAATTAATTTAGCCTTTTGTTCTGAATAAATTGCACTTATACCGTTTTCAAAACCTTGGCCTACCCCCATCCCCTGTAGGTTCTTCTTCATAAAACTCCAAGAAATGTTGTCAAAAGCTTTCTCCGCGTCCACAAATATCAAAACTGCCTTAGTATTTATGTTCACTTGTAATTTTTCTAAAATATTAATTATGTTTCTCACATTATCAGACAGATGTCTACCCGGGAGAAAGCCTGCTTGGTCTTTATGTATCTCTTCCACTAGCACTCTTTTTAGTCTTTTAGCCAAAATGTCTGCAAAGATTTTGTAATCCACATTGAGCAATGATATGGGGCGGTAGTTCTTGGGCTGAGTCTTTTCAGTCTCTGTTTTCGGTACAAGTGTAATATACGCTTCTTTCCACGACTCTGGTGCCCTTTTTCCTCCCATTATTTCATTACAGACTTCTTTTAAAGGTTGTACTAGCCATTCTTTTAAAGATCTGTAGTATCTAGAAGTCAATCCATCCGGTCCTGGAGATTTACCTAGTTGCATATTCTGAATGGCACCTTCTACCTCCTGTTCAGTTATTTTATAGTTCAACATTAATTTATTTTCTTGAGAAATTTTTTGTAATCCATTTGTTTTCAAAAATCGGTCTACGTCAATTTCTTTCTGTGGCCCTTGTGTATATAATTGTTTAAAGTACCTCTGGAAACAGTTTCTAATCTCAACTGGGTTCTGTATATTCCTTCCTTCCACTTCTAAATTTGTAACAGTATTTAATTTTTGTCTTTTTTTCATTTGCCAAGCTAATAATTTCCCACATTTATTAGCCGACTCAAATGTCTTTTGTCTCATTTGTTTAATTTTCCATTCTATCTCCTGATTCATCATTTTCATGTATTGTACTTGATATAATTTTATTTCTCTCAAGATCTCTTGCGACTTTGGTTTTGCTCTCAATTTCTTTTCACTTTCCTTTATTTTCTCCAATATTTTATCCTTCTT